ATGGTTTGGTGACATTCGTCTCACCCCTGTACACTGGGTGCATCTCAGATAAGGAGATCACCAGGATCAGTGGAGTCCTTCCCTTGCTGGAGCCAGGAGACGACATCATGGCGGACAAAGGGTTCCTCATTCAAGATCTCCTTGCTGACGTTGGAGCTAAGCTCATCATTCCACCTTTTAAGCGTTCAGCTCAATTCAGCAAAGAGGAAACGGAACAAACCCAAGCCATTGCCCGCCTCAGAATTATAGTGGAGAGAGTGATCGGTAGGGTAAAGTCCTTTCACATCTGGGACTCTCCTGTGCCGCTCACACTGATTGGCAGTGTGAATCAGATCGGGCTTAACTGTTGTGTTTTTGCAAATTATCAAGGACCTTTTTGTTTTGAAGATTGAATGAATTAATGTTTTGTATGTAAATAATGTATAATGTGTAAATAGTATGTAAGTAATTTAGTGTTCCCACATATTCTTAAACTTTAAATTAAATATAATTGTTATATTAATATTGTTCTGTTGAAATGTGACTGATTTCACTAAAACATTAGATGAACGATTAAAACAATTTTGGTCAAAATGCTGCATCCTTTAATTTTTTGGCATGTATGTGTAACACCAACTGATTAATAACAACTTATTCAATAAATAACACAAACATTTACAATAAAAAAAAAACATTACAGTTCATCAACAGTAAGACAGAAGGCAAAACTGATTGGTAAAGACAAGATTACTGGAATTCAAAGTATGCATTCATGTATGTGCCATAATAATATACATCTAATTTCTCTTTCATTTCCGCTATGAATGAGTCATCACGCCAAATTCTTTCCACAGTTAAATTTGATACGGTATTTGTAACAAAGTCACACCATGTCAGTCCTGTGATTGCCAGTTGGCCCTGAACCTGCCAGTAGTATTTATGTGAACGCTTCAGACTGGCGTGGTCTTCCTGCACCTTGAGGTGAGCAACCTGAGATGGATAATTTTTTGTGCTGCTCTTCACCTCAACCAGGCCAAAAGGAGGCGACTCTGAAGGGTCATACACTCGACCGTCTGGACTGGCCCCGAGATGTGGTGCGTCAGGGTGAATGACGAATCCTCCTGGTAGCACATTAACTCGCATCAGTTCAGCATAGTTTGCCAGCACTTCAGGCTCCACCAGCAGACCGCGCTTCATTGCAGCTGTTTGCTTTGTGCAGCCTCTGATCATCTGAATAGCTGCAGACTCCTGCTCTTCACGACACGCCTTTGTCACAAGTGACGAAGGAAGCGGAACAAATGTCCGCTGGAAGTGTGTTCCCCCCGGAACAATATCAGTGAAACACCGAGCCGGTTCCGCTTGTTGTTGGTTTCCATGACAGCGGCGGCTGATGAGGCAAACGGTATCAGGTGCGGGCGATTGGTGTGAGGATCGGCGATAGGGCTACGGGGCCGAATGAAGCAGTTAAAAGGAAAAGGAAGAGGAAATTGAGTGTGGTACTCCCCCGGGAGAAATCGTTCTTTGGCAGTAGCTTGAATTCGCTGGGATCTTTGGAGAGGGCTGTGAGGATTTGGCTGGATTACGGGTGCAACGGTGATTTGTGTGAATACAAGCTGGAAGCGTGAACTGGATGGGAAGTAGGAGAATTGTGGAGACACAGTCAAGACTGGAGAGCGCCATCATTCCTGAGAGGAAGCTAAGTAATGAAACATCGGATCTGTGTGAATGCATGCCTTGCACTGAGTTGAATAAGGAATTGTGAAGTGTATTGATTTCGAGTGTAACTGTCACTTAAGAGTGTGAACTGAGTCATCATTAAAATCCTGATATCTTCGTCTGAGTGTGAGAGTATTGAAGACGCTGTTTTCCATGCTGCGAGAAGTCATCTGCATCTCTTCATCTCCTGAGTGCTGATGCAATATAACAGTGGAAGGATTGATCATTGGGTGAGTGCTGGCCTTATTGCACTGAGAGTGGATGTGCAGTGCCTGAATTGAAGTGTCACACAGTATTGGATTTGATGTGAAGTTGCAGTGTGTGTGGATGTATATGTATATTTAACTGCCAGTATTCTTCAGTTCATATTCTTGCCCAGTGTTTGCTGAAAGCCTCCGTGTTGAATGTGCATGTTCCGCTCGGGCTATAAGCCCTCGCTTCGATACTGAAGAGAAGTGTGCTTGCCCCGTATAACTTGTCCTGCCTATTCAAATAGAAGATTCTCCTGCTACTGTCTTGTGTGATGCCCGTCTGAAGGAGGGATCCACCCTAGCCTCAGCACTGTCCGCTTAGAGCCACACCATCCAGCCGTAAGCTCGATTCTCCATCTTATAGAGGAGTGTGCCTGCACCTGTATAAATTGCTCTGTCTGTTTAAATAGATGATTATTCTGCTACTGTCTTGTGTGATGCCCGTCTGAAGGAGGGATCCACCCTAGTCTCAGCACTGTCCGCTTAGAGCCACACAATCCAGCCGTAAGTCCTTGCCCCATTGTAAAGGGAACTGAGTTTGTACAAAAAACTGTCTCTGTCTTTGGAATAGAGGATACCTCTGCTAACGACTGAACCCCGCCGAAGGAGAAAGAGACACGAGAGCCCCCGCACCTGCTGCCCAGCGACGACACGGGAGTGCGCCCTGCCTTGAGGAGATATACGTACCCACCTGTCCTCCAGTGAGGCTGCTTGTCCTTTGGAGAGGTATACGTACCTGCCACTCACCTGTCCGGTGGAATGGAGTCCCCTCCTAGTCTTCAGTCCCGGTCCAGACCTGTCCGGACATCTGTCCGCCTGTATCACGCCCAAGAAGGTTTACTTACCAAGATACTTACCTGCTTGCTGGAACGGCGGTCGAATCCCTCCTCCTCGGTGGTTGCCGGTGGCATGGATCGGTGGGGCGAAGCCCTCGCTTCCCAGGGTCCAAAAGCGGGCTCCCTTTCCTGGGAAGAGACACAAAATCCACGACAAGACTTTTTAATTCCCCTTTTTAGACAATAAAGATTGTTCATTTTAATTCCACTTGTCTGCCTGGTCTCTGGTACGCTCCTCGAGGTGGTCCTGGGTTTGAGGGGTGGGTGCAGTCTGGCTTGGCCCCCCCGACCTGTGACACGGACTTAACCATTAGGCAAAGGTCGGCAATTGCCTTGGGCCCCGAGCTACCTAGGGGCCCCCAAAATGCCCCATTAAATTATCCTTAAGTTGTTTTTACTTTTCGCAAATTATATATTTCTAAAAAACATTTGCGAAAAAAGGCATCAAATCATTAGTGTCGCAGACAGAAGGGGGCCCCCCACCTCACCTCACTACATTGGACTATTCCATTATCTCACTTTCTGCGTGTGAAAGTGACAAGGCTGTAATGCGCCGAAAAATAAGTGATTGACAGACGGTGTGCAGAGTGACAGACAGAGTGTACAGAGTAGTAGACAGAGTAAAAATGAAGCGAAGCTACCCAAGCGGTGCTAAAACAGCAGGAACCATAAAAGAAAACCATACTACCTTCGCCTTGGGTCCCCAATTTGCTAAATCTGCCACTGATCATTAGACAGTGTGTATTTAAATATGCATTTCATCAAGGATTCAAATATGAATACCTTATTTATTTCTTATTATTTTACTGTGTTTTTGCATGTAAACTTCTATGCCCGTTTGTGATTATTGCAGCGTGTGAATGGGACTTTTTCTCTTTTTTTATTAATGCCATGAACCAGAACAATACGAGACCTAATCATTCAAAGTAAAACAAATACAAAGTAAAATAAGAACAGTGCCAGAGGACAAGAAAAAAACAACATAAAATGGGTGCTACTTTATACATATCTGCTTACAATGCTATAAGCTCTAATTGCCTTTTTACTTAATTACACAAAACAGAACAATAAAGCTTAAAATCATTTTTAAAGCAAGAAAGGTTTGGTTTGGAGTCAGACCATTTCATTTTATGAATGTGAAACTTCCCCATTAACATTAACAATTGTATGAAGTGCCTTATCTTTCTCAATCCCATGATCATTGAAGTGTATCATTTTGTCAAATCCACTCAGCTGTAAATCAATGTTAATTTTTTTCTTAATTAAACGCTCCACATCAATCCAAAAATATTTTTGTATGTATGCAATGAAAAAATAATGTAAAATTGTTTCCTTTTCACCTTTAAAAGCACGTTTTACTGGATATAATCTATAAGAGACTTCTTTTACTTTGTTATTAATGTAGAATTTGTCTACTGTTCTCCAAGCATTACGCCAATTTACGTCTCCAAACACAGATGACCAGAAAAAGCGAGCTGGAGGGTAAACAATATTATTAAGTATATTGCTAATATAGTTATTTGAGACTTTATTTTGTAAGTGTCAATGGGACTTGTATTTAGGTGTGAGAGACGGTGTGACGTCATAAGTCTGCGCCGCGACCCCCTGTCTGTTGTGATTCGGCTTAAGAAGGTTTGTTATTTTAAGCATTTATAGTGTTTAAATCAATACATATCATTTAGTCAATTATAGTTTTTAGATTCAAAATAAAAAATATATTTATCACTGAATGAACACATGTAGGCATATTGCTTCATCTAACATGAATGAACGTTATTTTTGTATGTAAATTGTATCCACACATGAGTAACAGAAAAGGTGCGTCTCATTTCGCCCCCAATATCGGGAATCAGTTTATTGTAAACACGAATTCGGTTACTGGAAAAAGTTATGATGGCAGAAACGGAGCTTTTTAATACTCCGAGTCAATTGAATCAAATACTTCACAAATGATTCAGTGATTCGAAGAGCTCGATTCACCACACGCTGACGAGCAGTGTAAATGCAACAGAAACACAAAAGTGTGAAATACATTTTTTTTTACAAACCAACTGCAAATATATATTTTTTTTATTAAAGTGGAATCTATTTAATATAATTAAATAATTATAAACTCGTAACTAAGTAGTGTATGTATAATTCTTTTGTGTTCTTTTATTTTTGTACAGCTAGCTGGGTATTTTTTTTTAGAAAAAACTCCTGGTGAAGCGACAGATCCACATGACACTATTATGAAGATGGCGTTTATTAAAGAAGAGAATGAAGACATGAAGGTTGAAGAAACATTCAGAGTGAAACAAGAAGATACTGAGGAACAAACAGGTTGGTTTCATTCTCAAAGCTGAACTCACTCATTTGATCCTTATTAAAATGTCCAGCTCTGCAGAAATTATTGATATTTTCTGAAGATTGTCATATGAAGTGTCCTAATTAATGTAGCAGTCAGTCAAATTAACATTATATAATAAATGGATTTTCACTCTAATCAAAAAATATATAACAAAAATGCTGTGGAAATAACCAGTGTGTTTATCGTCTGCAAGAGGGGTTTCAGCTCTTTGCATTTACGAGTGGTCTTAACATTGTCGAATGTATTCCCTCATGCCTCTCTGAATTTCCTTGCTATTGTGAAGCTGGAAAAGGGAGCAGAGTTCTTGTACTTGCATTGGACTGCATTTATATAGCACTTTCACAGACCCAATGGCCACCAAAGCGCTTTACATATTGCCTCACATTCACCCATTCACTCACTCATTCATACACCGACGGCGGTGTCAGCCATGCAAGGCGCCATCCAGCTCGTCGGGAGCATCTGGGGTTAGGTGTCTTGCTCATGGACACCTCGACACTTGGTCAGGTGGAACCGGGGATTGAACCACCAACCTTCTGGTTTGTAGACAATCTACATGAGCCACTGCCGCGACAATGTAATGTCTCAGCAGCGTGTATAATGTGCTTATGAGCTGCGATTTCTCTCTGGAGAAACCACGCTTGTGCATTTTTTTTCTATGATTCGAACATAAACTAGCGCATTACGTACCGTTTCACTAGCCTGCTTTCACTGCTTTCACTTTTAAACGAACTGTTTACTACACAAGCGCTGGACTTCCTTTGTGTCACCGAGACATGGATTAAACCTGGCGAATTAAGCTCGCTTGTTGAATTACTACCGCAGGGCTGTGACTTTTTAAATACCCCGCGCTCATCAGGCCGCGGTGGGGGGATAGTGACTGTTTTTAAAAACACTTTTTCTTGTCAATTTTTATCTACATCTTCATATAGCAGTTTTGAGGTGCAACTATTTCAAATACTAGTAGCAAACCCTGTCACCATTGCTCTGTTATATCGCCCTCCCAAACATAACTCAGAATTTATTAACGAATTTGCTGCATTTGTGGGGGATCTTGTTATTGCTTACGATAAAATACTGCTGCTTGGTGATTTTAATATTCATGTTTGTTGTGCATCTAAAACTCTCTCCATGGAGTTTTTAAATCTCATTGAGTCTTTTGACCTTGTTCAGTGGGTATCTGGCCCAACGCATCTACAGGGTCATACCTTGGACTTGATTTTAACTCATGGATTATCTGTATCAGATATTACAATTAGCAATGCAACCTTCTCTGATCATATGCCTGTAATTTTCTCTGTTCCATACTTTGGTCAAACACTAAAAACTCAGCCCATGGGGCGTATGTCTCGTACCTTCAGTGCACACTCCAGGGAGGAGTTCACTGCAGCATTTCTTGGAGCGTGGACTTCTGAAACGGAATTTACTCTTCATAACCTGGATGCGGATGAACATCTCAGATTTTTCAACTCCACCTGTGCTTCTATTCTGAACAGTATTGCACCTTTTAAGCTTAAATTCCGTATTTCAGTACCAATTCCATGGTTTAATGAATCAGTGCGTTCTCTTAGACAGGCTTGCCGTCGAGCTGACCGCAAGTGGAAAAAGGACAAAGCAAGTGGAAAAAGGACAAATCGCATGTCTCATATGAAATTATGAGAAACTCTCTTTCCTCATTTCAGAGGGCTGCTAAAGCTGCTAAAAGTAAATATTTCTCTGATTTGATTAGGCAAAATAGAAATAACCCTCGTGTACTTTTTTCCACTATTGACTCTGTGCTAAATCCACCTGTCAATCTTTTTCCTACGCCTTCTGTCTCACTCTGTGAAAGTTTTGGAAACTTTTTTACAAATAAGGTATTGGCCATTAGAGCTAAAATGTCTCAGACTGGACATACTTTGTCAGAGATTCCTTTATATTCCGCCACATGGTCTGTGTTTGAGCCACTCTGTTTCCACGCCTGTAAGGAAATTGTGGAGCGTCTTAAGCCTACATCATGCCAACATGATATTGTTCCCTCACATTTCCTCAAACAAAATATGGATGCAATTTGTCCAGGTCTGCTGTCCGTCATTAATAAGTGCTTATATACGGGCACTGTTCCAGTTTGCCTTAAACAGGCTGTGATAACACCATATATTAAAAAAACCTAATCTAGATTCCTCATCTCTCTCCAGCTTTCGACCTATTTCAAATCTTCCTTTTATTTCAAAGATCATGGAGAAAGCTGTATTGGCTCAATTACAAACTTTTCTGTCAAACAATTCAATCAATGAAGTTTTTCAATCTGGCTTTAAAGTTTTACATAGCACCATATCTGCTCTTTTAAAAGTCCTAAATGATATATATCTTCACAGATTCTGGTAAACCTTTGGCTCTGGTCCTCTTAGATCTAAGTGCTGCTTTTGACTTAGTTGATTACAACATTCTTTTGTCACGCCTGGAGTCTTGTGTAGGACTTCGTGGGTCTGTCTTACAGTGGTTTCACTCTTATCCGTCAGATAGATGTTTTACTGTACAGTTAGGACAATATTCATCCTCCAATAAGCAGCTTGGTTGTGGTGTCCCTCAGGGATCAATCCTTGGGCCTGTGTTATTTTCTTTATATTTGCTCCCTCTGGCTGCTATTTTTAAAAAACATGGTGTCTCGTTTCATTTTTATGCTGACGATACCCAACTTTACCTTCCCTTGCAACGCAATAATGAATCTTCTCTTCAGCCGCTGTTAGATTGCCTGAATGATCTTAAGTCATGGCTGTCAAACAATTTTCTACACTTAAATGAAAACAAATCGGAGTTTATGTTGTTCGGCCCCAATGAAAACTGTGTTTTTGACTTTGATCTTGGCCCTCTCACCCCGTACAAAACAAAGTGTGCCAGGAATCTGGGCTTCCTATTTGACTCTAGTTTAAAATTAGATAAACAGATTTGTGCTGTTGTTAAGTCATGCTTTTATCAACTGCGCCTTCTCAGTAAAGTAAAGTCCATTCTATCAAGAAGTAATTTAGAAATAGCTATTCATGCGTTCGTTAATTCTAGGCTTGACTACTGTAATTCTTTGTATTATGGCATTTCTCAGGCATCAATCTCCCGTCTGCAGATGGTTCAAAAAGCAGCTGCTCGACTGCTTGAAGGGAAGCGTAAGTTCGATCACATAACTCCTATTTTAATGTCTCTGCACTGGCTTCCGGTTAAGTATAGGATAGAGTTCAAAATTGTATTATTCGTCTACAAAGCTTTTAACAATCTAGCACCGCAATACCTAACTGATCTCTTGGTACCGTATACCCCATCTAGAAACCTGAGATCCATTGACCATGGCCTTCTAACTGTCCCTAAAGTAAAATTAAAAAAACGTGGTGACCGCGCTTTGCCGCTGCTGGACCGAGGCTGTGGAACAGCCTTCCTCTGTCGATTAGGCATGCTCCATCTATCTCCACTTTTAAAACTCAGCTTAAGACTTATTTGTTCTCCTTGGCTTTTAACACTATATAGCTACCTTCTGTTTGAAAATGAATTTTTGATTACCTATTTTTTGTTTGTATTCACAAATGCTAGGTCTGTGTGTATTTTATTCTGTGTAAAGCACTTTGGTCAACCTTGGTTGTGTCGTAAATGTGCTCTATAAATAAATGATTGATTGATTGACTTCAGCGTCATCATTACGACACGGCATTGGTTACGGCTTTTGTTCACACAGAGCGCGTTCCGGGATGTTACTAGGTCCCCAACCCGGCATCAATCCCGGGTCGTGTTTGCGTTCACACAGAAGGCTTTCTGGCAATTTCCCGGGATCAGCGCGCTGTGTGAAAGGGGCTTTGTATTGTATTGTATGGCTGAAGGGGAGTCATACAGATGCCTGTATTTCCGCACCTCTTCAATCAATCACTTGCTCCATGTTTTTCACTGAACTTCTGAATTTAAAAATGGCGGGCGGCGTAGAAGAAAACGCCGGAAATGCGATGCTACCAAGCTGACCAATCACAGACCTTGCTGACCGAGTCGTTGTGACGTGTAGTTAGGTTTTTGAGGAGGTACAGGGTACAGCATATGGTTCACGCCTGTGTGTATGCTACGCCGTACCTACTGAGCGCACTCAACGCAGAAGTATAAATTGGGCTAAAGCTTGCTCTAATATAGATGATCAACACAGATTTTGTGCTGAAAGTTGTGGGTTCATCAGATTGGAAAACTTTGTTTCACCCTCAAGGACCCTTGCCACCATTGTCTTTATCAAGTTCTTCCCATGTCCAATTCATTTAGGACTTGCAGGTCAATGTCAGTTGGCAGATCAGTGAAAGATCTTCCTGATTTGAAACCGTGCGGGAAACTCTGTCAGTCCTCAGGAAACGTGATCTCAGTGGTCAAAGATTCTATGGTTTTATCTTGCGTTTTATCTTATTTCTCTGCCGAGCTGTGATAATCTGATAATGACGTTCTGTGTCTGTGTTTTTTTTTTACGCAGATGTGCATTTTTAGCTAACCACGAAGTAGGCCTGCACAATTCTGGCAAAAAGATTTTTTTTTTTAGCTTAGAATTGATATCACGATTCTCTGCAACGATTTTTTTTTTCATGAAGTGTAATGTTTATTGCAGACATGAACCATGACAAAACAAAACAATTTGGCAGTACCAAAACTATTTGTTTTGGCACCTATAGAACATTGCAGATCACCACAAGCCTGTAAACATGGAGGCTTCAATGAATAAAGAAGAAACAACTCTTTAACTGCTTGCATTTTGTACAACTAACATTCAACTGGCCATTCAAGTAGGTTACCAAAAATAGAAGTTTAACGCACTGCGCTGAATATGGCCTGAACATGGCTCTGAATAGGCTAATTGAAACGTCATTCAACATTCTGAGGGTTCAGTATCTAAAGAAAAGGAGCATCAATTGGCCATTGAAGTGCAGTTGCAGTATAACAAATTAATAATTTATTTTGTATACAGGTGAAACTTTAGTATTCA